GGGTGACGACGTGGGGTGTGGGGTGATGATGTAGGGTGTGGGGGTGACGACGTGGGGTGTGGGGTGATGATGTAGGGTGTGGGGGTGACGACGTGGGGTGCGGGGTGACGATGTAGGATGTGGGGGTGATGATGTAGGGTGTGGGGTGACAATGTGGGGTGTAGGGTGATGGTGCGGGGTGACAATGTGGGGTGCGGGGTGACGATGTGGGGTGCGGGGTGACGATGTGGCACTGAAGCCTGGGACAGGACAGCGTCACAGTGGTGATGGGAGGTGGGTGGCTGAAGCCAGGATCTTTAAGGAAGACAATGAATATTGGGCTGTAGTGTGGAGCAAAGACTTACCCAGGCCTGGTGGTTCAAGGGTGGCATCTCTGCCAAGGTTTGTTGTTAAAAAAAAGTACTACACGGTGTGGGAGCTAGAAGTCAGGATGGCGGGGCGACCAGGGTTGGTTTTGTCAAAGGCGTCTCTCCGTGTCCTCTGCATGTCTTTGTCCTTTGTACGTGAAAAGTTTCTGCACACCATAAGCCTCTCCGCCAACGGAGCAGTCCAAATCAGACCAAATCAAACCGAATTAGAAAATGCCCAGGTTTAATGGATAAAACACTCCCAGATGATTTCCATACCCCCAGAGAGGAGACAAGGAAGAGAGACCAAAAACCCACCTCTGTTTTCTACGGGGCAGTTTAAATACACGGTGGGAGTGGTTTCGAGCATCTCTGGGGGAGGGGGCTGGGGTGGAGCTCCCACCAGAACATCCCAGACCTTTTCCGTATATGGACGCCAGGGGCTGGGGGAGCGTCCCCCAGAACAGTGAGAACTCTGTTCACACTTACTGAACCAGGAGCCACTCATACGCCTCTTACCTTTATCACCTCTTTAAAGGCTTGGCCTCTAAATATGGCTGCTTGCTTAGTTCCAGGGCTTGGGACTAAGTGTATGAGTCAAGGTGGCCACAATTCCCATAAACACTGGACTAGAAACTGGACTTTGTTGACAAGATCCAGGCGCCATTTCAGAAAGCACAGAGGCTGGCCGCTCATCCACACCTCCTGCCCTTGCCTCTCCCTGCTGAGTCCCAGAGACTCTGCCATCTGATTCCAGGGATCTTTAGCCATAGGGATCCTGGGCCACAAGAACAGGAGCTTTCTGTCCTCCTCCCTCTGCTGGTGTCTTGGTCCTCTGGTGTTCCACGTTCCTCAGGCGAGCCTGGTGGGGTCTGGTTTCCGTCATGTGACCTGAGCTCCCCCCCCCCCCCCCAGCTAAGGGGACTCCCCGTTTCCTAGCCCAGCCCCTGGTGGCAGAGACAGCTGCTCTCAGTGGCGGCACTGCACTTGTGTCTATAGGCAGAGGTGTCTGGCCTGCTCAGAGGCCATGCTGCTCCAGCTCCAGCTCCAGCTGGTCCTCTCTGTTAGACCCCTTTGCTTGAGTAGTGGTTCCTACTGTCTGGTGAAAATGTGGTCATGACAGCCAGGGACTGTAGCAAGTCAGCACAGTGCCTTCTGCAGTGGGGGCAGATGAGAACTTACAGGGGATCACCACCAGCCCCTCTATTCTCCAATGCCTGGGAGCTGAGCATCAAGCTTGCCAGTCATCTGCCTGTGACGTGCTCATGTATCTTTTATCCTCTCCTTTCCGCCTGACCGTGTCTTACAATTTGGTGTTTTGTTTACTCCAGGTCTGAACCCTTTATTGATTATTCGTGTTCTAGATTCCTCCTCTCATGTCAGAGTGTGTCCTTCTTTAATAGTGCCTCTACTAAAGGGAGGGCCTCAATTTACATTTATTTGTAAAGGTTTTCTTTTATCTTTATGTCTGTATGTGTTTTGTTTATACGTATGTCTGTGTATCAGGTGTATGCCTGGTTTCCAAAGAGGCCAGAAAAGGGCGTTGGGTCCCTGGGAGCTGCAGTTACAGACAGCTGTGAGCCGCAGTGTGGGTGCTGGGAACCGAACTTAGGTGGCCTGGGAGCCGCCAGTGCACCTATCTGCAGAGCCCTTTCTCCAGCCTGGGGAGCTTAGTTTTAGCGTATTTACATTTTCCTTTGTAATTAGTGTTCTTGGTAGCTTTTGTGTGTGTGTGTGTGTGTGTGTGTGTGTGTATGAGAGAGAGAGAGAGTATACATATGCAACAGCATATGTGGAAGGGTCAAAGGGCAAACTGTGAAAATTGTTTTTTCCCCTTCCACAATGTAGGTCTCAGGGCCTGAACTCAGGTCATCAGGCTGGACTATCTGGGTGTTCTTGGTGTCTTAACTAATGTTGTTATATTTGGGGATCAGAGAACTATTTCTAGTCAACTCTGTGTTTTCTTTTAATACACAGATTTAAAAATAAAAACAAATCAGAACGGAGACATAGCTCAGTGGTAGCATGGCACTGTGGGCTGGGCCATCCCTGGGTAAGAGGGCCTGCACTGTATGAGAAAGACAGCTGAGTAAGCCGTGGTCAGAAACAGTAAGCATGGTTTGTTTCAATCTCCAGTGCTGGCTTCCGTTGGTGACGTAGGCTGAAACAAATCCTTTTCCCCCTCGAGATGCTTTAATCAGCGTTTTATAATGGCAATAGAAAGCAGACTCCTTAGGGCCACTACTGCTGCAATGAAACATCACAACCCAAGCAAGTTGGGGAAGAAAGGGTTTACGTGGCTTACACTCCGACATGACATCATCGTCCATCACGAAGGGAGTCAGGACAGGAACTCAAGCAGGGCAGAGACCTGGAGGCAGGAGCTGACGCAGAGGCCATGGAGGGTGCTGCTTATTGGCGTGTTCATCATGTCTTGCTCCTCAGCCTGCTTTCCTATAGAACCCAGGACCACCAGCCCAGGGATGGTACCACCCACAGTGAGCCCATATGATATGGGTCCTCTCATATCAATTGCTAAGAGATACCCTAGAGCAGGGGTTCTCAACCTGAGGGTCATGACGCCTTTGAAGGACTGCATAAGACAATCAGAAAACACAGATATCACATGGCAATCTTAACAGTAGCAGAGTTACAGTTAGGAAGTAGCAACAAAAATAATGTCATGGCTGGGGTCACCACAACATGAGGAACTGTATTAAAGGGTTGCAGCATCAGGAAGGTTGAGAACCACTGCCCTACAGGCTTGCCTAAAACCCAGTCATATGAAGGCATTTTCTCAGTTGAGGCTCCCTCCTCTCCAGGGACTCTCTGGCTTATGTGTCAAGTTGACATAAAACTACCCAGCACAAACACGATTCGGTGTTAACCAGTACCATGCAGAACTAGTTCCCCGAGGGGAGTGCAGGCTGCATCCTTTCCGTCCCTTAGTCTGTCTCCCTGTTCCCAGCGATGTGTACCTTGTTTATGTGAGCTAAGTCATTTATCTTTGGACTCCCTTCTTAAATCTACTGTTGCTATGCACCTGGCCGAAAGTCTGGGGATCTGTGAGTTTCCAGACAGGGTTTCTCTGTGTAGCCTTGGCCGTCCTGGAGCTTGCTCTGTAGACCAGGCTGGCCTCAGACCAGCCTGCCTCTGCTGGGATTAAAAGCATGTACCCCCATCACTCAGGGTGAGCCAACAGATTCGTGGCTGGTGTACTTAAATAAAAATCTATCCGTGGATTAGGCAAGACGTGGAAGAGGCACACACATAATTCTTAACTAATTATGCCGCCCATTTACAGTGGAGGAGCAAAGGTCATGCAGCAAGGCCTGGATGGGCTTTGTTCAGAGGCGCTGTGGGTGACAGGCTCAAGAGAGAAAGCGGCTGGGATGCTTGTGTTTCCCCTGTGACAAGGCCATTGGGAATCGTCGCTGATGGGTAAATCGCCAACAGACATGCGTGAGAATGCCCCGTTTGTCTTGTTTGGTGTGTCATATGAATTCATGTAATTTCCCCCACACTACTTCTGAAGGCTTAGCAAGGTCTAGTAAAATGGACTCATCTATTTTCCAACTGGGCCAGGTAGAGGCTGTGTTGGCACTATGACTTGTGTAGATAGTTAGCAAATATTGGCTGTTGACATAGGTGGACTTTGACTTGATTAGCTTAGGCATCCCTCCCCCATCAAACTTCCCCTCCATCCTCCTCCTCCCAATCAAACTCTTCCTCTTCATCACTATCTTCCCCCCACACATCGAACCCTCCCTCTCATCAAACTTTTCCCTCCACCCGGAGCGGCCTCCCTTAGTTCCTCCAGGGAACCAAGGTTCCTTAAGCTTCCTGCTGTCCCTCTAAGTTCCCAGCAAGCCTCCCCAGTTCCCTCTGGTGGTGCAGCCTCGGTCTCTCCATCTTTAGGGCACACCTCCAATCTCCTGTCCTTCCCTACTTCTCTTCCTGGAACAGCCAGCCTCCTGAGACAGACAGTAACCTCTCTTCCAGGACCATCTTCAGTCCCGGCCCGGCCTTTCCATACCCATATCCCCTTTTTATCCGCATCACCCTCTCGGTGGTTCTGGCGCCCCCAGCTCCTACCTAGCTCGTACCCCCTCATCTCAAGCGCATCTTTCCCCTTTCCAGCACTCCGGCCCTCGCCCTCAGCCCCCTCCCCCTTCCAGCGGCGCACGCGCACTCCACCCCCTCCCCCAGGCTCGCTTCCGGCCGGGGCGGGGCGGGGCCGGGCGCGGGCCGGTGCAGGCGCGCGGGCGCCGGCCATGCTCATCACGCTCTGCTACTTGTACCTGTGGGCGCGCTGGGGGCGCCGGCCGGCCGCCTTGGTGCTCGCCACGGTGCGGCGGCTGCGCGCCTCGCGCTGCTCCTTCATCTTCTGCCGCGCCGCCGCGCAGCCCGGGGGCGCGCGCGTGTGCCTCAGCCGCGGCGGCCGCGTCTTCTGCGTCGGCGAGAGCCAGGTGGGCGGCGGGCGGGGGCGCCGCGTGGAGCGAGCGCGTGGCGACATCTGCATCAGCACCCGGCGCGGGAAGCCCTGCAGTGCTCTCTCGGCCTCGGGCCAGCTGCCCCCACCCGCGTCTGTTGCAGCGGGAGCGGGGACGCCCAGGACACCCCACTTGGCACCTAGAGTTTCCGTGGGCTGGCTTCTGGTCCAGTGCGGAGGGTGATGGCGCTGCCCCCTCACTGGGAAGGGGCGATGGCTGGTTGCACAGGCCGGCTGCAGGCTAGACCTGACTTCACAGTGTACTTCCAACCATGAGCTTCTGGACATCCCTTGCTTTCGTGAACATCACACAGTGTTTTGCTTTTCAGCGGCCTTTTGCCCTTTCCGCTTCCTCCTGGAAAGCGGCCTCACTTTTAGTACCAACATGAGTTTTTTTTTCATAGATGTCAAACCATTTGACCCATTTGGGAATCATAATCTTACTTCAGGGTGAATATTTTTGTCAGGCTGTTTAGGTATGAGGATGGAATTGTGCTTCCAGGGAATTAACAAAGACAACACCCTAAGTTAAAAAAAGAAAAATACACTGTAGGGGTTGGGGATGGCTCAGCTGTTAAGAACACATGTTGCTCTCGTGAGCACGCGTGTCCAGTTCCCAGTTCCTATATGGTGGCTCATAAACACCTGTAGCTCCAGTTCCAGGGGTCCAAGGAATGCCGGTGGCGCACATCCACACGGAGGCAAGACGCTTAGACATAAAATTAATAAATATAAAGAAATACTGTGTGGCTAACACTGAGTTTTCTCATGTATCCCAAGTGTATAGCTACTGTTACCTAGCTGTGACTAGGACCACCTGGACCAAGACAGGCGCGGTGGAAGGGGACACTGCTCCTCTTAGAACATGGGGGCTAAATTCTCTAAAACTGCTTGAGAGAGATCACAGAACTGAAAAATAAATGAGGGTGGATTTTTTTCCACTATGGTGGTTTCTAAGCTAAATTATTTAACACAAGATCTTTGCGATTTATATCAGAGTGGAAATTTTGCCAAATTAAGTTTTCCTAGACACCTTTGAATATTTTCATGATCTCTGGCCTGGTGACTATGCTAACCTAGTTAGCTAACCTAATTACTCGTCTCTTGTCTGCTTCAGAACCCCAGGTAGGGACAGCCTTGCGGATACCTGCCCCTCGTTGCACCCCGGCTTTACACAGATAGCCCCTGTCTCTCAACCTGGAACTTTGCTCCCACCTCCCTGCTGTCTGCGCTTGAGTTCAGGCTGTGACTCAGAAGGTTCTTGCAGCCTTAGAGTTCTGCCTTTTCTGCTCTGGGCAAACCCCCCCCCCCTTCCTCTGTGAAGCCCTGGCTGTCTTGGAACTCTCTCTAGACCCGCTGGTCTCTGGGATTAAAGGTGTGCACCACCACCGCACCGCAGATTGAAACTTTAAGATCATATTACAGTCCTCCAGAAATCTGAAACTAACGGCTTTCAAGGTTGTTAGCTCACCTAAACAAGCTACCCGCACCTGAGGATGGCCAGGCCCCGTGTAAAGTGACATGATCTTTGCATTCCACGTGGGTCCCCCTGTGTCTGCGTTCTCCAGGTTTCCCATACCTGTTACAGGTCAGAAGCCCGTGGAAACGGTTGTTACACAGTGTAGTTTACGGATTAACGTAAGGACAAAGTGAGTTTGTTTGTATAGAGACAATTACTTTTTTGTTTGAAGATATGAAAAGGGCCGCTACATCAGATCACTACCCAGTCTTGTGTCTAATCCGCTCTTACAAACCCCAAAGTTCCCCACTGGGGTGCACGGTCCCTCTGAAGCTCATCTGACCGAGTCTCTGCGTATGGAAAAGGCCCTTTCCAAAGTAGTTTAGTCTCTGGGTTTGACGATTATGTGACTTCAAGACATTGCCATCTAAGCCTCACCCTTAAATGAACCTCCCAGTGTGACCTGGGAAGCCCAGACATCTTAAGCTGAAAGAAACAGTGTCAGAATTGTTTGCATAGACACAAATACCCAGAGACTTTGAAACTCTTACTAGCCAGGCCAGGGCCCATACAGCTGTTTAAACTGCCACAGATCGACACAAAGGGAAGGCTGCAGGGGTCTGCAGTGTATCAGACATTCCTGTCCATCCTACCTGAAGAGGCCAGGAGTGGAGATCATGACCTGAAATGACACCGAATCCTCTTTTTCTTTCTTTTTCTTTTGTAGTCTATTGATGACTTGAACAAGTGGGCCCTGTTTCTTGTCTCTCCCTTCGTACTTGAGGCAGAACAAATAGCATTTGTGACCGAGAGCATTTGGGCACAAGGCGACAGTTTCCAGAAGGCAGCATCTTCAGAAACAGTGAGTGGTGGTCTACTTATGCACCGTAGGGTGTGTCTTAGGCCACACCTGGGTGGTGCTGTTTGTTTTTTTCATTTTTTTTAAAAATGAGTGTTCTTTTCTGGGCTTTATAGGTGACTCTTTTTCTTTTGGGATTTATTGGGTTATGTAAAATATACTAGTAAAATTCCTGTCATCTCTTTCTTTTCTTATGCATGTACATATATTCGTGTGTGTGTGTGTGTGTGTGTGTGTGTGTGTGTGTGTGTGTATGGGTGCATGTGAAGGCCAGGGGACAACCTCAGGTATCTTCAGTTTCTATTCACCTTGTGTTTCAAGGAACATCATCACTCCTGGCATGGATTTTGACTCGGCGCTTAGGGGTTACACTCAGGTTCTCTGCAAACATGGCAAGCACTTAACCAATGGAGCCAGTTCCCTCGTCTCTCTCTTTTACTTTGTATAGGGTTTTTGTTTCCTTTTACAGCGATTGATTGGTTGATTGATTGTGTGTATAGATGTGTGCATGCGGAAGTTAGCATATGAGGTTGAGGTTCTGTTGCCAGGCCTCAGTTCTCTTCTTCCACCATGCTATCTCCCGGGGAGCCAACTCAGGTTGTTGGGATTGGAGCAGGTGCCTTCACCCACTGCCGTAATGTATGTGGGTGACAGTGTTCCGTGTTCTACTCCAGCTGGTCTGGTCCATCCGTGTAATCTCTTCCTTATCCTGGCTCCCAAATAAATGGCTCACTTACATGGCTGCCTCCTTCCTGGGTATCTCTCTCACCTGGAGTGTGGGGAAAATACTTCGGACTCACTCACAGGTCCAGACTTGTGGTTTATAATCTGCTTAAAAAGAAGAGGGGTGGGGGGATGCCCCACCTCCTTCTCACTTCTTGAAGTTACCGGTTTGATCGACACAACTCCGCAGTGTCTTTGCTGTGTGTCTTCATTTTCATGGCTCCTGACTTCATCTCCTTCTTGAGTCTTCTGTCTAAACTGGGAAACCATCTTGTCTTGTGTCCCTTCTCTGGTTTTCCCCTTGATGGCCAGAGTTCTGGTTCTGGAGCACACCCTGCTGGGACACTTGCTGAAGTTCTGACCATGAGGTGTGCAGCCCTTGTCCTTAAAGTGGTGGCTATTTTTCTCTCTCCCAGCCTGGGGATCTCCTTCTCTGACTGTGGCAAGCCAGGGTTGGATTCCTGCTCTCACCTGCCCACAGTGTGCCTCTTGCCTGCCCTTCAGGGATTCTGCCGCTCACACCTGAGTTTGTGGGATCCTTATTCTGTGGTCATCATCCAGGAGACACTCTGCTGGGAGGAGAGAGAAGAAAGGAGAGCGGTGAGAGCAGGGAACGCTTGTGCAGCATGCAAGGCCTGGAACCAGAACTGGGGTGGGGAAGACAGGAAAGGAGAGAGGGGGGGGGGCTGGTGTGAGTGGGGGTTGCCAGGCAGGCCCGAGACCTGGCTGCTGTGCTGAGACCCCTGCATTCTCTCCAGAATGTTTATGAAACTTGGTTTAACTTTTCTACACTTAGTGGCAAAGGCTTTATCAAGTCCCGTGAGATATTTTACAGATATCACACGCTTAGGGTCTCCTGCCTCCATCACTCTTTTGAAAGAAGTGGGAACCGAGGTGCCTAAGCCACATGTGGCTGAGTGACAAGGTTCTAGCTGATGTTCAATACTCAGATCCCCTCTGTTTGCCGGAGGACAAGTGAGTCGTTTTTACTTGTGGGTTTTGAGTTTTCGACTGAGTCTAGTCAGTAGTTCTTGTGGCTGGCTGGCTGTGTTTGGTATCAGGAGACTAACTATTGAGACAATATATCTTCGATGAACATAAGAGGTAGGGTTCCTCTGTGTAATAGCCCAGGCTGTCCTGGAACTCACAGAGATCCTCCTGCCTTTGCTTCCCAAGTGCTGGGATTAAAGGCCTGGGCCACCACTGCAGCTGCTATAGTTTTTAATTTCCTAACTCGTTACTTAATTGTGTATCACTATGGAGGTGGTGACAAACTGCCTCTTTAGCAAAAGAAAACTGGGCCCCTAGGTGCTGTAACACCTCACTGAGAAGGCAGCCACTTTTAGTCTGCCTGAGCCACTAAGTCACTATGGCTCTCTCTGCTACAGAAGCTTAGCTGATATCCCCACAGTACAGTAACCTGCACGTGTGCCTGCAGTAGTTGTGGCTTAGCAGCCATCTGCTTAGAATCTGCACTGTTATTTGTCCTTGTTTTTGTGTAGAATACACTTGAGCCTTTAGCGAACAGTCACTCTGAGGATGACATAACTTTAGATCTAGACCTGGCATGATTTGTGTCTGTTGCTTTTCTTGGTGCTGTGGGCAGATGACTGGCAAGAAAAAACTTAGGGAAAGGAGGGCTTGTTTGACTTGCAGTGTGGGGACACTGTCTGTCATGGCAGGGGAGGATGGTGCTGAGGGGCTGAGACTGCGGCCTTAGCAGAGCGAGCAGCTTGCTCATGCTGTGGAGAACCAGGAGGCAGCGAGGATGGAGAGTGCGGCTGCTTCCTCAGTCAGGGTCCCTGGCCCCTGGATGGAGCCCTGTGGTTAGGGTGGGATTCCCCGGTTGATAAGCCCTGGGGTGTGTTTCAGAGGTCGCGCATGAAGAGTCATCCTATGGCTGTTTGTCTACCCTTATATCCCTGTCAGCATACACAGGTACCACATGTCTGTCCTTAGTGTGTCTTACAGGTTTGTGACTATATCACAAAATAGGTGTGTAGTGGGCTGGAGAGATGGCTCAGTGGTTCAAGAACGTTGGCTCCTCCTCCAGAGGACCCAGGTTGGATTCTTAGCATCTACACCCTTCTGTAACTTCCAGTCTCAGGAGATTGGATATCTTCTTCCGGCCTCTGAGGGCACCAGGGCATGTATGTGGTACACAGACATATGTGCACCCATACACATTAAAAAACTTTTAAAAAAGATAAAATATATGGGTTTAATCCATGAATGTTTTACTATTTACTACTATGCGGCAGAACTGAATATTTCTAAGCTGTGTGTCAAATCCATAAAATGCTCTAATCCAGTGGTCCTCAACCTTCCTAATGCTGTGACCCTTTAATACAGTTCCTCGTGTTGTGGTGACCCCGGCCATGAGATCATTTGGTTGATTCTTCATGCCTGTGATTTTGCTACTGTTAGGAATTGTTAATGTATCTGGCGTGCGACCCACAGGTTGAGAATTGCTGCAGTCTCATGAGAAAAGGCCCCATAGACTTTTTCTGGGAAATGGAACTCTGCCCTGGACTTTGGCAGGAACGTGTGTCAGAGGTGGTTTACCTGATTCTAGAGAGAGGCAGGGGTGCAGAAGGAGGGTCTGAGACAAGACATGGCCCCCAACGACCTACCCCTCGTGACCCACTATTTGATCCTTCCTGCTGAAATTTCCACAGCTTCTCAAAGCAGGGCTGGTAGCTGAGGACCAAGTGCTCAGCGAGCGAGCCTGGGAGGACCTTCCCTGTCTGCGCCTGTATCTAACATGGTTCCCAAGCCCGAAAGGCAGCGGAGATGGTCAGTAACCCACGCCCCAGATTCCGACTCCCTGCCGTGCTCAGTGTCCATCCTCTTCCACCTCCCCCCAATCTGTTACTGCGGCCTTTCGGTTTCCTTTTGTTCTGTTTGTGTTATTGAGGTGCGACCTCGCTCTGTAGCCAAGGCTGGCCTCCTGCCTCAGCCTCCTCAGTGCCGGAAGTTACAGGTGTGGACCGTCATGCCCTGCTCGCTACACAGCCCAGGCTGACCACGGAGTAGCATTTCTCCTCTGCCTCCTCAGCGTTGTTGGGGGTTCCATGCATCCCCACCATGCCTGCTAGCTAGAACTTCTGGGAGCCCGGCAGGCATTCCGGATGATTAGGAAGCAGACTGTTAACGCATTCTAGGAATTTGCATACTGTCCAGTGGGGCAGCCAGACTGCTTGTAGGGTTTCTGTCGAATGAGAGGTATCGTTGCTCTTCCGGCTGGGCTTCTGCAGTACCGTGGAGGACCCTTGCATGTCGTCATGAGTCGTGACAGGGAGCCTGGAGCGGAGTGACTAGATAAGATCTGTCTGGTGTGCGGGAGGAAATTCTGTGCTCTGTGCTCACACTTCCTCCGCTTTGATCTTTGGGGTCAGCCTTTAGCTTGGCTTCCCGTTTCTTCTCTACCCCTTTGTCTCCCATCTCCTCTGGAAGGTGATTCCACGCCCCCCCCCCCCCCCCCCCCCCCCCCCCCCCCCCCCCCCCCCCCCCCCCCGCAGTATCAGTGACAGGTGCAGGTGCTGCCTGTCTTTGATCCCAGCCCCAGCCCCTGCACTGCACCAAGGAGTTCCCATGATCCCTGGCTCACAGAGACAGGAAGTAGTGCATTTAGGTGAGGAAACAGTTGGGAGACTCAGGAGACCTGATGAGGGACATGCATGTCTCTGGCCTTTTCCTGTTCTTGCCCCTCCTTCCTTCCTTGCATCTCTTTCCTTCTGAGCTGTGAGGATTTAATCATAGGATCCTTTTACCTGAAGCCAGCAGGTGCAGGGGCAGTTTGAGCAGCTCTGTTGGCCGAGCCCTGCCTGGCTGCCCTCCGCTGGCAGCTGCAGACACCTGTGATGCTCGCAGGGCTCCTTTGCTCCATTCCTCTGCCGGCTCTGCCCTTGCCTGGGTGTTAGCATCTCCTCCTGTTCTCCGCAGACAGCCCTGCCTCCCTCCCACACCAGGACAGCGTTTGTTGCAGGCTTCAGCTGCTGTACTGGCATCCTAGAGATTGATGTTTTATGTGTTTTGTTTATTTTCTTCTTTCTCTCATGTATGTGTGTGGTGTGTGTATGTGTGTGGGTGCGTGCACATATGCGTGTGTGTATGCATGTGCATGTGTGTGTACGTGTATGCATGCATGCATGTGTGGCATGTGTGCATGTGTGTGTGTAGATGCACTTGCAGTTTAAAAATGGTTGTTTTTGAAGATAGGGTCTTACTCTGTAGTTCTAATAGGGCCTAATCCTCCTGCCTCAGCTTCTTAAGTATTG